ATTATGTTCCAGTATTTTGTATTTTCCTCGCTTGATATTAACCATTCCGTAGATCTCATTCCCTACTGCCAACTCAGTTCTCCATTGTTTCATCGCCTTTTCAGTAAAGGATGTAAAATTTTTGCTAATGCCAGTTGTTTCTAAGCATTTTATGATCCAACTATGTGGCAGTGAGTCAAATGCCTTTTTGTAATCAATCCAGACCATATCCAAGTTCATTTTTCTGTTCTTACAATTTTCTAATACCATTTTATCAATTAGGAGCTGATCTTTTGTGCCCCTGCTCCTTCTTTTGTTGCCTTTTTGCTCTACTGGCAAGATGTTGTTTGTTTCTTCTTCTTATTGGAAGGATGAGGAAATATAGATATCTTCTTCTAAAGGATGATCTAACCAACCAAGAAAAATTAAAAACAAAAACTCAGCCTGGCCTTCTGCTTCTCTCTCTGCTTTTGGGAGGATTTTTTCAGAAAATGCTCTTTTACAAGTCCTTCACTCATTGCCTAGTTTGGAAGGATATGTATGTATGTACGTAAAGGTTTAAGCCCAAAACCCAGCCTGAAGATGGTGAGTGAGACCTTGCCAAAACGTTGCCAAGACAATCTCAATCTTACACGGGAAAAGACTCGAATACAACAAGACCAGCATATGTGTGTGTGTGTGTGTGTGTGTATACACACACACATACAGACATATACACACATACGTGTGTGTGTGTGTGTATATAAGTTAGGGTCTATTTGTAGGGAATTTGATTGTTCTTAAAGGTTGCAGAAAATTAGCATACACAGGGAATCCTCGTTTTGCAGGTGTTCGTTTAGTGAATGTTTGAAGCTACAAGGGCACTGGAAAATAGGACCACCTTTGCAGCATCCTCAGGGATCGAGAGATCAAAATGTGATGCTTGGCAACTGGTTCATATTTATGACTGTTGCTGTGGCCATGTGATTCCCCTTTTGCAATCTTCTCACAAGCAAAGTCAGTGGGGAAGCCGGATTCACTTAACAACCGGTTTGCTAACTTTATCAATTGCAGTGATTCACTTAACGGTAGCGAGAAAGGTTGTAAAATTGGGCAGAACTCTCACTTAACAAATGTCTATTTAACAACAGAAATTTTGGCCTCAATTGTGGTTGTAAGCTGAGGACTACCTATATTTAACATTTGTCTGGCTTTGTGGTTCTTCTCAGTGCCCGCCAATGCTTTCCCCCTCACTATTTGAGTGGAAAATGTTTAAGGATATGGCTTTTTAAAGAAAGCTTTCTATTACATTGCAGATGCTTCTCCCCTCCAACCAAGCATCGTTTGGATGTACCCGTATATAACCCTCATCACTTGCTTATTATTTTATTTTGGATTTCTGGAATTTATACGCTTGTTTAATATCCTGTAGTGTTGTGGTCCTGACAGAATTGGTTTTGTGAAAAGCCTCAGTTTGTAACCCACCTTGATCATGCTAAATATAATGGCATCATCGATCATGGACAGTGACATTATATTTAGCATGATCGAGCTAGGTTACAAACTGAGGCTTCACACAGAACCAATTCTGTCAGGAATATGAACATATATGTATGTATGTATGTATGTATGTATGTATGTATGTATGTATGTATGTATGTATGTTGTATTTGTGCTGATAAATAAATAAAGGGAGACTAGTATAGATCTATTTCAAGCTATTTAGCTCTCATCAGCTAGCCATACCCTTACTGGGATTCGAACCTATACTATTCTATACTAGTCTCCCTTTATTTATTTATCAGCTCAAATACAACATACATACATACATACATACATACATACATACATACATACATACATA